TATTTTCCAGTGTTTATTTATTAAAGTTTTTTAGAATTGACCATTCAAAACAGGTTTAGTGATCTGACTGACAACCACAGCATGAAGTGTGATTGCGTTGCGTGTAAGAGACAACAACTGAACTCGAGGCCTACATGAGCAAGAGTCTGCTGACAAAATCATTCCACAAAGTCCTAGTGCTGCAGATAAAAATTACATTTTACTTCCCAGACAGCTCCTAGCAGTTGCACAGCACAAGAAAAACCCTGCTCTGGAAAAGAGATGTTTTTGCCAGTATAACTCTCATCTGCACTAGGGCTTTACTAAACAGTTATGTCAGTCAGGGTGTGACCAAAACATATTTTATTTATGCTGTAAACAGAGCTTTCAAGCAACAGGGATAAGCTTCCAAAAGAAACTTTGAGAGGCCTATTGCCCTGCTCTTTGCTAAACTGTAAAAAGAGTGCCAGATTATATAAAGTTCCATCAAAGTGTTATTGTGAAAAAATATTCTACGGTGCAGCTGCAAATGACCTTTTCTGATGCAGAGGAAAGGCAAGAAGCAGTTGTAAAGACTAATTCAGTTCCAGTGAAATGTTCTCCATTGAAAATCAAAAAGGAATTGGCCCTAAAATTAGAAATACACACACATCTAAGTTAGTATTACCCTTATTGGTTGGGTATTAAAGAATAACAAACAAACAACTGAAGATCTACATCAGAAATCCTCAGTACAAACTGAATTGCAACTTGCAAGAGAAATATGAAGTAATAAGAAGAGGTTCTATAAATATAGCAGAAGGAAAAGGACCACAAAGGAAAGTATTTAACAATTCAAAACCAGAAAACAAAATAAAAATGAGAGATGAAACCAACATGGTTGAAATCAATTTCCTCCTCTTGGCTTATATCGCTCTTCCCCAGGTTAACCGTAAGTAGAGAGCTGGGAATATGACCAGGAAAAGAACAGGCCTATCCTTTAATCCTTACTCATTTATTAAACAGATTAAGAAAACATTAGAAGTAATGCATGAGTGAACAATGTAGATAGCAGCTATACCAAACATGCGTTAAAACCTCAGCTGTGTTGATAGGAAATACCAAAACCCCTCAGGAAAGATAAAGTGCAGATTAGTAAGAAATCAACCAGATCTTTCTGTAGACAAGGTCAGAAAGCCAGCTTCATCACCAGCAGCTAACACCAAAACAGGTAATCTTAGATAAAAAGTGAAAAAAAACTGTCTGACAAATTGATGGACTTACCTTACACAAGCTAAGGTTATTTAGTAGGTTCTTCCATTACCTTATATAACTTCACAAACTTTTACAACGGCAGTGAGATGAAAAGGAAGAACTTTGGTCTGAGACAGTGCTGTTTTTACTCATGCTCATCTGCAGCCAGCCCAAGTTCTCGCCGTGTATCTGATCTCCAATTATAGTTGATAGAGCCCCTGTTCAATTTACAGAATCCTACTGCTGCTGGAGATGCCGTAGGGTGTCCCATCACTCCCAGCTGCCGGCCCAGAAGGGTACAGGGCCCAAAAAATCGCATGTGATGTATGTCGTGTCATACATACACAAATATCCTGGCATTGTCAAATACCAAGTGGTCTATCAGATAACTCTCCATCCTCCCAAAGGGTAGGAGAAGTCCTTTACTCAAACGTAAGCATGCATAAGGAATACAGTTACACACCAACCTGGAACTGGGTAGTGCACTTCAACTGTGAACTTGGGTAAAACTGGTACACACTTCTTCCCTAAGTGACCGCCTGTTAGCAATCCTAATATTTTATATATTTTTCATTATGCTTTTCTCTTATCATTTTTAATTACAGATTTCGTATTACTCTCATATCTTATTTCTTCATGCCTTAATTGTATTTTGCTTTTCTGTTCACACACTATCTTGGCTATTTATGATTTTAAGCAAAATTCTGTTTGCATACAACTTTGAGAGCCCAGTTTATACAGGAAGGACTCCTTGAACTCTTCTTTCCTCTTCATGGCAATTAACATGTAAAATACTGTTAAGATAAACTGCATAAATTTGCAAATGCCAGACCCAACCAAAGCAGATCTGACATACAGCTGACAACCAAGTTCTTCCGGGTAATGAGGAAGGTCCCAGAAGAAAGGAAAAGGGAAGAACAGTTGCTATTTTGAAAGTGAAAGAGAAAGACAGGACAGAGGTTACAGACAAGCCAGCCTAATCTGAAAACATTCTTGGATGTTTCTTTTCCTTAAGTGTAAAGGTACACAAAGTAGTTAACACAAGTTTGTCCTGAACACACATTATCAAAGAAAACCACCTTGTTTTTTTCCTGAGAAGATAAACCAGCTCAGTATACTAAAGGAAAGCAATGCAGGGAATATAGACCTCACTAAACCCACTGAGTTTGTCCCATATGACATCTCTCAACCTAATTATGGAAATACTGTTTAGATTAAATCACCTGCAGACAACTGCAGAACAAGGTTCATGTGAACCTGAGCATTGTTAAAGGTGTTCCATAGAGTCTCATCCTGGCTGAATTATCTTCCAGTAATTTCATTAATGAAATCAATGCTTTATAAAAAATAGGAAAAAAAATCCTTCAAAAATAAGACTGCAAATTGGACACAAGTATTTGCATCCCAAATGGCAGATCATCCTCAATAAACCAGAGAAATGATCTATAATCAACATGAAATCTATGCAGCTTGTGGAAAGTACTACACCAAGGAAGAAAAAAATAAATGCACAGTTACAAAACAAGCCCACTGCTGGTTAGGTAGCAGCACAGCAGAAGAGGATATACAGGGACCCCAGCCTAAGAGTTGCCAGGCTAGAAAGCAACATTCGACTGTCTTTCTGGATCGTATCAATAGGGAAGTTCACTACATTCAGTGCTTCAGCTGGAGCAGTATGGTGCACTATACTTATTATGCATCAAGTCAGAAAGACTTCAGAAAAGAAAAATAAACAGATAAAATAATGTGGAAAAATATAATTATACCAAGCTATTCAAATCTGTTATGTCCATCTACATCTCTAGAAAGCCACCAGTTCAGTAAGTGATAAAACCCTCGCATTTATTTGCAACCCACATACAAGAAGTATGGCAACTACAAACCCTACAAAAATCCATTGCTTGTAACAAGAAGCAGTAGCTTATAAAACATGAAATTCTCTACTTAAAACTCTCAAATCGGCTTTCTCAGCTAACTCCTCGACCACATCTCCTTACACTCATAACTCCTCCCTTGCTAGATGCGCCTGCCAGTACAGGATCTCGCATCCAAAGTCCAGCAGACCACCTACATCTGCCCAAATAGCGTGCAAGCTTTTGTCAGCATAGTTTCTGCCACTAGAATTTACACTACAAGATTCTGTCGGTTTCACAGGCTAGTGGGGGGAATGGGCAGTCGTGCATGCGTGTGATTTGTGATTGTTTATAGGCCCAGCTTTAGCTGAGAGGGGTACACCAGCATTATCCGAAGAAGTGGCTATGACTGTGATCAGGCAAACAGCAGACATGGCTGCAAATTGCTTTCAGCAGGTGTTCTAGCTACAGAGGCTTCAAATCACCTTGAATTGAGGAGTGATGCTCAGATGATCCTATTTTCTGTTAATTTTGCCACCAGAGTAGCAACCTCCAGCTGATTGGCATTAAGAGGCAGGTGGGTAAGGCCAAAAGCAACAGTTTTTTACCTTAAACTGCCACATTACGAACACCTGGGGCCTAGGTTTCACCTCCAGACAGGCGTCACCATTACTTCCAAGAGACTGGAAAAAGTAAATGCAAATTTCTGTGACGGTGAAGCTTAGCCAAGATTCCCACAGCACACCACTTCCAGCACCCCATTATTACAAAGTGGGTGTTTTGATCGCTAATTGCTATAAACTAAAAGGGAAACAAAAATCATAGAAATATGGCAACGCTCACAGGAACACAGACGGGAAGAATAACATAGCCATCTTTGAAGATCCGGAGGAGCGAGAGACCAAACCGGAGAGTCACCTAATTAAATGAAATCATCTGTATCTAATCACATATCTAAACTTGAGCTAGCCGACATGTGCTCCCTTTATTGGCAATGGAGAAGTAGTCAACTGAGCCTGAGGAAAAATTAATCTCACCCTAACTCAGATGGGTAAAATGAACTCAGATGGACTGAGCTTCAGAAGTGGCTACTTCTTTTTAGACAGCAAAGGAAGCCTGGGATAGGGTTTAGATATCTGAAAGATAAGCAAGTTCCCAACCTATAAGCGCAATGATAAAATTAATTAAGAACATAGAAATCAAACTGGAAAGGAAAAGCTAAAAGCATTAGAAAAGAAGTCAGAAGTTCAATAAAATTGACTAGCAAAAGAGCAACGTGAGGAATTACTGGTTAGAACTCAGCAGAATTACCTTCTACCTGATAACATTGACTGGATAAAAAAAAAATATTCAATTTGCAAAAAGATTGTTAATTTCTGGCAAGGTCTATGAAATTAGTCCAAGTGCAAGGCTTAGAGAAAGATGACATGATAGAACAAAAACTGACAAGTTATTTCAAACTTCCACAATGCTGTCACTTTTTTAATTATTGGAGTTTAGATTATCAAAATTTTGGGAGGGTGCTTACTTTTTGTAAATGTGAAGACAATATGAGACTGAAGGACGTTATTTTGAAAACTGTTGAGAAAGGAAAATTAATAGAAAGCTATGGTTTCTCTGAGCAGTCATACGCTGATTTAAGCAAAATATTTACACCTTGATTTCATGGTACTTAGTAAAGTATGGCTGGTAAGCTGTTTAACATGCTGTAACAACTGCTTCACAAAATACTTAATGTAATTTTTTAGCTACAACTGATAGTAATTGACTTCCATAAAACTATTAATGAATATTTTATCAAATTGGTGTCCAACTCCAGCGCAATAAATATAACTTGCTGTGGGCACTATTTATAGCCAAAAGACAGCTGTCTTTTTGCTCAATTTGAAAATATATATATAACTACCAAAAAAAAAATCACTGTCTCAAACTTACCACTGGTGACTCTCAGCACTGTTGGCATCCAGCTGGACAGCCTTTTCAGCTTTATCCTTTCCTGTAAAAGGAACACAATATGATGTTAAAGGATTCATTGTACTCTTCCACATCTTAGGCAACTCTTACAACCAAGAAATCAGACATACTCTAGCTGCAAATAAATTGCTTCTTCCTCTTACAAACATATAGATTGACAATCATGGCTTTACATCATTTACATACATATATATGTGTTCTCCCCCCATCTTATTTATATATATATATAAAATTGTTGCTGTTTTGTATTTTCTCTTAGTTCATTTCATTAATTCTGATGCAACTAAATCAGGGAAGGATTAGACAAGACTGTTGAAGGTGGCTGCATTTGTAAGATAGAATTCCCTTAAAAGCAGGCTAGAGAAGCACCTGTCAGAGAGAAGAAAAAAAAAAAAAAAAAAGAACATCAGAGCTGTTTTCTGCCTTGGGTACAGAATGAACTAGTTAAATTTCATTTCCAGTACAAAGACCTTCATTAGGTTCCACTTTTAACTGAATAAAGATGACAGTAGGTGGCTTGATCAAACCCACACACCCAGTAAGAAGTTCAGAGGAGATGCTTACAGTTTGCAAGACATCAGCTGCAACAAATTAAACCACACTGACATTTCTGTATTACTAGTTAACTGCATAAAAACAAAGAGCAGCATACACAATCCTCCAACCTAGTGGAATGAAGAAAAACACAAAACTACTGCCAGCTCCCCCGCAGCCTCAATCCCTCTGCACTACTTCCAAAAACAGAGAAAAAAGGCTGCCGCCACCCAGCACTTTGTGAGAATGAGACAGACAAGGCTGATTACTCAACACCTAAGTCCAAACATCATTCCTTCTCTCCCTGTCTTTTGCTATGCCATTATCTTCCTGCAACAGAGGTGACATCTAGTTACTGGGAAAGGCAAAGGATGCAACAACAGAGTTCACTGTTGTAACATAGTTTGTGTCATAATCTTCACAGCAATATGCAACTTACATACAAAGAAGCTAAGCTGCTACTAAAGCAAAAAGAGTATCAATTAAGTAGTTAAGATAGCACAAGTCTTCATGAGCATTTAGATGATAAAAGGATAGGGATGGGGAAATTGGACAAGCTAAGGTTAGTTATAGAATATGTAATGACAGCCCACAAGCATGACACTGCCTTCAAGGATGACAAAGGGCAGTCAAAATTGCTTTTTCAGTGATGGTGTCACTGTTGACAGGAAAAATAAATAAATAATTAAATACGTGAAAATAGTCACAAAAGATAAAACAACCTGAATGTTGTGAATATACTTACATAACCTTAATTTGCTGCAGCAAAAAAAGGGAGAGGAAATGCATAAATAAAGGAGAGAGAGAGACATTCTCAGATACAGGCAAAAAGGATTACCATAAGAACAATGTGTCAAACAGACCTGAGTAGGGTGACACAGGTAGAAAAGCAGTAGGCTTTATTGCAATCAAGGGAAGGTTCAAAATAAAAAGGGAAATGTAAACTGTGAACTTTTTACTGTAAATGTAAAATACAACTAGACAGGAAAAAAAGGGGGGGGGGGGGAAGACGCTTTTAAAAGCAACAACAGGAAAAAAAAAAAGACCTATGAAGAAGAAAATCAGAACCCTTGACAAGGCTAAGTTCTCAAAAAGGATAGATGGGGAGAGAAGACTGGAAGCAACATCTTCAGTTGTCACACCTGACTTATGTTTCTTGTGGACGGTGTTTCCAGGTTCACTGTTTTACCCCTACCACCACCACAAAAGAGGCTGCTAGTTTGTAGGTGTGCTCCTTTGCCTCAGAAAAGCAGAAAAACAAACCTTCCTTTAAAGAAGACAGATGTTGTCAACACATTCTCTTTCCATCTGATTCTTATCAAAATAAAGTATTTTAAGGCACCATCCAGAGCCAACAGCCTTCAGTCGTGTCCAGCAATACTTCTACACCAATTTCAGATCTTTGCGATGAGGAAAGACTGGACTGAAGCTAGGTAAGGTTGCATTTTTTTGTGCAAAACATTTTTACTGCAGTAAAAACGCTCACATTTACTGGATTGGAAAAATGTACTGAAGCTCAAATAATGTTTCACCACATTCACATGACATTATACACAAACATTTTTTATGTATTTACCATCAGAAACATATTTCTTCTTCTCCTCAGTATCAGCAGTCATCTCAAACATATCTCCATAAGCACGTGCAACTCTCCAAAGAAAGTCCACACAGTTTTCATACTGAAAGTAGAGGACAGCTGAGTAATTAAACTGATCAGAATGGGATTTACACAGCTTTCTTTAATAATACTTAGAGTAGGTTAGAGGAGCATGGCATAAACCATTGGACAGTTTGTATCCTTCTATAGAACTTCTAATTTCCATATGAAACAGATACCAATTTTCAATTGCCAAAGGAGAAGACAGCTTTTGGAAATACCCTAGACAGTCTAAATAATTTTATTTCAAAAAAATGGTTTTAAAGTTGTTTTTTAATTAAAAATATAAAGGTAACCCAGTAAAGCACAACAGCTCCCTGAATGGTGTGATGCATATTTTATTTAGGAATGAAATGTGCACAACATTCACTTTCAAGTAGTACCTCATCTACTTGCTTGGGTATTTCAATATGTAAATAAAAATATAATCAGAACTACTTATGTCTGTCAAATCAGAAGAAAATGATACATTGAAAAAAGCAATAACCATAAAACATTTTGAAATTTTATCAAGAGTTACACAAGTACATAGTAAAGTCATCAAAGGAAAAATTCACACGAAGATTACCATAAAGGTATAAGCAGATTACAGGCTCATAATGTCATTTCTTCAGGACACTTTGTCAGGATACTATCTTATTCCACAAGACTTTCTCCTATGGGCAATTCTAAAGCCAGCAAAGAAAGTTTAACTTATCTAGAAGAAAAGCCCATGATATATTTCTTTGTTGCATGTAAGAATACACATACCAAACAAAGCCTCCAAATTACTGAGCCTGGGTGGTATATAAAATAACACAACTTCCATGCCCACCCAACATGAATATTGGTACCATCTTGAAATATTTATTTTTCATCATATTTTTAAAGTGAGAATGAAATTTCATCTTCTGTTCCTGTGTGTATTTTTATGCTTACATTAAGGAAGTTCTCAGAGGTAGAGCTAACCATAAGCTAATAGCAACATAATATTAAGTTTACCCTTTAATACCTTGTCATCTTTCTCAAGCAGCAGCCTGAAGCCCTCCTTTTTATCATCTTCTGAACCCTTGTGCAAACTGTCCACCTGCCGTAGAAGAGTAAGTAGCTCTTCTTCTTCTGACTGCACAGTGACATCAGATGGTTTCTTACACCCCTTTTCTTCCTCAGAGTCTCCTTCAGTATCGGTATGAGCTGTGAGGTAACTAAAAAACACAGAAAATAAATAACCATCTTTTCTACAAATATTGGTAAATTACTATGAAATTAAAATGAAAAAAAACAAAAAACAGTTTCAGTTTGTCCTGAAAATAATTTTTTAATACATGGAATCAAGCTTATTGTTGTTACAGGACCTTTATCTTCAAAAGGATAACCATAATTCCAAACACAACAGGCAAGTAATTATATTGTCCTGCCTAATACTACATTGAAAAAATTTAGATACATATTAGAAACACATGTGTCCTTGTGTTTCTAACACAGAACACTTTAAATCATTAATGTGTATTATGACATGCTTTGCAACCCTGAATAGGCCTCTTGAACTCTTGGCCTCAATTTCTGTATTTTTTGAAATGGGCACGGGCTTACTAACCAAACCACAAGTGCTATAAGAATCACTCACACAACGTTCTGTTAAACACTTCAAAGATCTAAATATAAGTGATAATATCATTGCTATCAATTTATTTCCCTAGCTTTTGTACATTCTGAAGGTCAGAATATCTGAAATTGGGAAAGAGCTTATATTAATTCATTACGCTCAGCGCAGAAGTACTCAGCACAAGGCAGGCAAGGACAAAGAAATGTTGCAAAAGCCATAAATACCTCACAGAGATAAGTAGGTGGCCTTACTGTCCAAAGGACTGAGCATATATTAGTGCCCTCACATAAAGCAGCTGAACAGCATTTACTTTTAAAAAGTAACCATTTGCTTATGTCCTAATATGGGCAGAAAAGCCTGATCTTTTGCATTTAACTTTTGATAATCTTGTTCTAATGAAAAATAATAATTTAGAAGTATTAGCTGCTAAGCTGAGAGATTTTTAAACGGTAACTACTAGCAGAAAAAGCTTGCAACACACTAGATACATCAAGTAACTCAATAATCAGGACAGTCAAAATATATAAAAACTGATTTTTGCATCTATGTAACCAGTACAGAATGTTAGCAATATGAATGGAGGTTAATTATTATGGTTTTCAAATATTCTATTTAAGAAGTTGCTTTAGGAAGTGACCAGACCTAAAACATCGGCAGATCCACTTGCAGCTTGTAAATGACCATTTACAGCTACTTACGAAGCAAGATGTGGCATGACGATTTCTCTGCCAAATTAACAAAGTAATATGGGAAAGACGAGTCTAAAAAGTTTTGTATTTACTAAAAAATACATTTAAAATGTACATACATGTTCAAACAAATAACCCTCCCTCTCCCCCCCAAAAAAAATAATAAAAAAAGCCACACAACATAAAGCGGAGCAGAGATGAGAAACCTCACAGATTCCTATAGATTTGCTTTCTATAACAGCAAATCTTGATAATGCTGAAGTTGATAATAAAACCTATATTACATCCTCAGAGTCTGTACTCATAAGTCAGTGAATGTTTATTTTGCTTTTCTGAAACATCTTTAAAACCAGAGCATATTATTCTTCCATACTTGCACTGAAGTGGACGCAGAATCCCATCATATTCAAGCTGAATTTGTAGGAGCACTAACTAAGGAGCTAACCATGGAAGAATGAGGTCCTCGGATCAGACCATCCCGCATCAGCCCTTCTCATTCCACCTCTCCTAGAGAAACATGACCTCTGGGCCATGGCTGTGCTGAGAAACCGCAGAGGGAACAATTTGAATTCGCATTTCATTTGCGTGTTTCAATGGTGGCAAACCAATACCTATCAAACAACCTCTGGGGAATGAAAAACACAACAGTAAATATTTTTATTTTCAGTGTAAGATAATGCCAGTAATTTCTGGGAACTGCAACAGACTGTACTACCCTGTGCCTGCTCACATCAGTCAGACACTGAGCTAAGCTAAGGCACTGGAGCTTCTATGTTGCTGTTCTGAGCAAAGTTTATTTCCATTTGCAAATGAAAGAATCAAAATGTTTAAAATCCTCTTTAGCTTGGTTTGAAGTGAACAGAGTTTTTCAAGAGAAGGACAGAAATTAATTGTCCTGATACCAAAATGTTCAAGGGAGTATAAATAACATCACGTGGTTAAGCTTGGGCATGCTAGTTACCACCTGAGATGCATCAGCATTCCTCTAAGTTTCTCCCCTAATTTCTAAGAAAAATAAAAATAGTGCTTTCAGAAGGCCCTTCCTCCTTCGTCTCTACCCCTACAGCTCCAGAGCTGACACTGCTGCCTCCTGGCATTTCTCCCAGGGAGACCACAAAGGTGACAGCCCTGGCCTCCGTAACTTATTCGTGCTGAGTTCCCACCTCACGAGCCAGGCAACCCAGGCAAACTCCCACATTGCTCAGGAGTCACGGGGGTAAAATAACAGCAAGGTGATTTAATCGAGTATCAAATATTAAATACCATTTCAACCATTTTGGCAAATGAGGCACAAAGAACTTCTTTTCTGGTTTGTTTCTGATGACGTACATTTTCTTACTAGCTCTCCGTTCAGTCCATATCGTGGTTGAAACTTTTTAAGCATGAAAACATAACATGCTACGAAGGCAACACAGCCTTTTAAAAAATAAAGAGCTAGGATTTTTCCTAACAATGGGGTAAGCCATACTTTACCAGTTTGAACTGAAGCAAGTTTTATTTCAAGACAGGGAGTATTTCCAAACACTTATGGACAAAATAAGAGCATAACAGATATTAACGATATAAAGCTACAATTCAAGGAGCTTGATAATTCATTTCAACAAACCTGCTAGCAGGCTTATTCATCTGCTCATTGTAGAACTGCAAACTACATGTTACAAAGAGCTATAAAATTATATAGAGAGAGATATCAGTACTAAACTAAAGCAAATTAATGCATGTGTTTCAACAGTCCAAAAACTGCTAGTCTAATGGATGACCAAAGTAATCCAAACTGGAAATCAACAAAAAAGGATGAAGTGTCATTACATAAAACATTTGTAAAGCAAGGCATAATAACACTGATATCTACTATTTCACTTGGTGTTTTCCTGCAAGAAGTTTAATGAGATGATAAATAGAAAATGTTTGAATGTAATTGGATCAAGAGCAGCCCTGAGGAGAAGGACCTGGGTGTGACGGTTGGGAGAAACTCAACATGATTTGGCAAGGTGTGATTGCAGCCCAGACAGCCAACCTTACGCTGGGCTGCATCAACAGCAGAGTAGCCAGCAGGGCAAGGGAGGGGATTTGTAAGACTCCACCTGGAGTACTGCATTCAGTTCTGGGGCCCCAGCACAGGAAGGGCATGGACCTATTAGAACGAGTCCAGAGGGGCACCTCTCCTGTGAAGACAGGCTGAGGGAGTTGGGGTTATTCAGCCTGGAGAAAAGAAGGCTCCAGGAAGACCCTACAGCAGCTTTCCAGTACCTAAAGGGAGCCTACAGGGAGTGTAGTGATAGGACAAGGGGGAATGGCTTTAAACTAAAAGAAGGTAGGTTTAAATTGGATATAAGAAAGAAATCCTTCACTATGAGGGTGGTGAGGCACAGGTTGCCCAGAGAAGCTGTGGCTGCCCCATCCCTGGAGGTACTCAAGGCCAGGCTGGATGGGGCTTTGGGCAGCCTGGTCTGGTGGGAGGTGTCCCTGCCCATGGCAGGGGGTTGGAATCAGGTGGTCTTTCAGGGCCATTCCAACCCAACCCATTCTACGATTCTATGGTTGCACAATCTTGAAGGTCATTTCCAACCTAGATTCTATGAAAAGTGAATATTTATATGTGACAAACCAATACCTGAGAAATTCAAAGAACTTGAAAACTGTCTACAATCAGTGTGAACTGTTTTCACCTTTATTACCAATAGATTTTATTTAAAAGAGGAAACAGTGATAAGAACGTGAGGAGCGATGATCAACCACAGGACTCTGTTGGATCACTAAGGACTGTTCAAAGTCCAAAGAGCAAATGGAAACCATGTTAGTGACTCACCACACTGCGCCTAAGCTGTTCCAAAATCCAGACAGGTAGTACTGCATTAAAAACAAAAACAAACAAACAAACGAACAAAAAAAACCACACAACATACAAACACACACAAAACAACTGAGCTACCTGGTATAAAACACTGCTGGGGTGTAAACTTGCTCTGCTGGTTCAGAAATTGTTGGCCTGCCTTTTAACTGGCACAGGGCCTAACCAGGTATTGGCCGTTCACAACACCCTAACTTTGAGACGGATCAAACATCATCTGTTGTTTTCCCGGCAACTTAAAAAGTCGTAAGCTGACACAAACCCTGTCTCATCCGCTCCAGCTAATTCAGTAGAAAGGTGATTATATGTCACAGACTGAGCTGGATCAGATTGGCATGGATGACCCAGTAGAGCACACACACCCGACAGTGCTGATAAACAGCCTTTGAGGAAAAGTTTGCCAAACCAGAGTCAGGTCAGCCGAAGATTGCACTGAAAACAAATGGGCAGCAAAAATAAACAAAGAAATGGTTAAGCGAAGAAATTCTTAGAAGCAGGGAAGGGAAATGTTAAGAGAAAAATTATAAATAAAACATCGGAAGGAAAACTATTTACTGCTGTGAACCTTTCCGGTGACTGATGCCAAAAGCATTTTGAAAAGCCTGGGTGAAGCAAAGCCTTGCTGAAGACTGAGGCCAAACATGACACTGGTGTCAACGGTTCATCAGTGCTGCACCAGGGAGGAAGCGGCTTTAAAGTGACAAGTAGGGCAGAATTAGGTGAAACTCTGCAAGCTGGGTGATCATCCAGACACAATCTATTCTATTTGTAAATGAAAGTGTGATTGTTACAAATCCTCAAATCTTAAAGACTGAGTGAATAAATGATGGAAACCAGAACTCTTCAGCATTCAGTCAGTGTCTCATGCATCCAGCACACATTCCTACAGGATAGCTTTTATTATGTAAAGATATATCTAAATCTATTTTTAAAAGGGGGAGGAGGGATATTTTTCCACTTAGAATTCCCACATAACTTTTGGAAGGCAAAATATAAAGCTTCTCTCTCCAAGGTGTTAAATACCAACAGTAACATTGGGAATATGACCAAAACAGATCAAAGCAGTGAGGGTCATAACAAGGACTGCCAGAATCAAATAGTTTATAAAATAAAATATAAATAAATTTAAAAAAAAAAGGTAGTATTAAAAGCTGGGAGAATTCTTCAAATCTGAAATTGATGTAGTTATTTAGCACAAGTGCATAAGACTCTTATGATTACTTCATTTGCCAATTCCCAGCACCTACCTGTGTGTCATTTAAAACCAGAATTGCTTAACACAAATAAAATCCTGTCTTCTGGATCATGAAAATATTGCTGGGGCAGTGAAACACCTTGCAGGTACTTTATCTCAGATAGAGTACAAAAAATGAAAAAAAAAAATCACAAAAAAATATTAAGTGGATTCACCACTGAACAAAAAGCAAGGCACATGGTGTTTATACTTAGAATACATGAATTTCTGATGCGTGTTAACCAGAAAAAAATCTGTGTTGTTATAACCTCTCACAGAATAAGCACAACTGCCACTGACGTTACATATGACCTCAAAATAACCTATATAAAATTGAACTGTATGCACGCTAGGCAGTAGGCTTAATACCCTACGTCCGTTTATAAGGGGAAGAAAAAATACAAAAAGAAAATCACATAAATGAAATCAAACTATCTTAAAAAGAGAAGATATGCAAAACAAACACATCAAGTACAAGGTGTTATGAAAAAAACACACACAAAAAAAACTCTTTTCAAAGGAGATTAAAAAATAGCACTGATAAAGCACATAGTATTAGTCACTTGTGTATCTATAACCTTGGATTCTCTTCCTTCCTTCCAATTCTACGCAAATATTCGTCAGAGAAGGCCTCTCTTAAGGACACATTCAAAGCTCTTGCACGCTCTAATCACTTGTGTCAGATCATCTCATCAGTTTCTTCATCACAGAGAAAAACCTGAACAGACAAGTTTCTTTGGTTAGTTCTCAAACAGCAATGCATCTGTCCTGATGAGAAAATGTGGCGATCCCAATTGCTAGGTGTGGGATAACAACTATCCAGTGTTTGGGAACCTGATTATTTGTAAACCCATGCTTTAGCCTTACCTACATCTCCAACTATTTTATGCTCAGTGCAGAGGCCTCTGCAAACCTACCCCCCAAAAATAAACAATTTGAGGAACTACAGAACTGAAACAATTGAATGCCACATGAAGGGGAAATGTTTCTGATGACCCTTGTCAATATTTAAAGTAAAGAAAAAATGAAGAACTAATTTGTAATATAATTGTGGAATCTCAAAATATGGTCTCAAAATAAAAGACTCACAAAGCATGCGAGCTGGGATATAACACAAGAAGAAATTCTGCCCACAGGAACTTAAAATGAATATGAAGAAACTCTTCAAAAGTAGAATTTCATTAATTATTATGTGCAGTATTCTGTTCTCTTCAGAATATTATAGTTGATTAAAGCCTCCTTAAAGAAAAGAAAAAAAGTGACTTACAATGGACAATTTACATACTAGTGTAGGCAGCATTATGTCTGTATACCACACCAAGGAGGTGGTACCAAAAAAAAAACCACATTTACTATAAACACGCCCTGATTAAACTGCATGCAAGTATCTAATCTGATTATATCAAAACGAAGATGTAATTACTGGAAAGTAATGTCATCACCATTTTCACATTACTACTGTAGGGTCTATTAGGCAACATATGACAGTAGGAAAATATAGCCCCTCTCCTGAACTCCTGGTACGTTCTCCTGAACTCCTTCAGCACGCTCCTCAACTGAAGCCCCCATTAACCACAATGGGACTAAACGCCATGATCAAAACCAGGAACTTTATACCTTAGTCAGTACCTGAAATCCCTCACGCTTAATTTTAAGCCAGCAGGAAACATACGCAATAGCAAATGCATATAAACAAACTGCCACTTGTACATGCTTTGCATTCAGACATAACTTCCATGGTGTGTAATAACTTTTGGCAGAACACTGTAAGAACTCATCTGTAAGGCCCAAGGGAGACAATTACCATGAAAAGCACAAGAGCACTCCTACAGTTTGAACAAGTTCTATCAGAGACCTGAGACAAGACTACTGTCTTACTGGAAGCACTCTTAAAATCACAGCATTATCATGAACTTTGCCTCTCATTACATAGCTATGTAGTAATACTGCATCAGATGGTTGCCAAACAGGCTGGTAGAAATCTGTAATGTGCTTCGTATTAAACCAGCTTCACGTGTCGTGCAGACTTACAGATGGTCATCCAGAGTTCTCTCTGATTTAAAAACATCTGATTTTTTTCCTGATTGGAGAGAACTTTAAAATATACGTAGAACTTTTGAAGGGCCACTGTTTCCAATACAAAGTTTCACACGCGTATTGATGCAAATTGCAATGCATAAACAAAATATTATCGACTCACCCTCCTTCACTTTCTGCCTCCTCAGAGCTGGTAGCTTCTTTTGCAGGAGTTGTCTCAGCTTTTCTCCGCCTTGCTGCTCTGTGTGATGGGCTAACTCTCTGAGCATCTCCCTTCCCTTGGAGCTCGTCTCGAACAAGCTCTTCAAGCTTTGGAATAGCTTCTTTCAGAAACTTCACCTCCCTCTTCAGTTCATCCACGCTTATTAGCAAGTCATTCAATTTTTCTAGTATCTGCAGTTGCCTCCTGTGTAAAACCATTACTGCCCCTTGCTCGTTATGAGTTTCATGTTGCATGCCTACAGAATTAAGCTTGTTACCTACATCTGCAAAGTCAGGTATACGCACAGCTGCACCAGGTTTTCGGACCTTGCGGTACCAGATCAGGACCAGGCTTATTCCAGCAGTCCCTGCCATGATGCCCAGTATCAGTCCTTTATTTTCAAAGCGAGACATTTCTGCGCTCTCCTACAATTGGGAGACAACAGTCACAGAGTTAAAGACGCTCTCCCCCTCTACCCAAACGACTGACTGCGCTTTTAAATCGCCAAAGCTTGAGGCTGGGATAACCGGTGCAGATAGGAAGCCAGAGTGCAACTCCAGCAGCTTCTGCAACAGCAGCCTGTGTGCAATGACAGCAAAACCGAGCCGGCAGCGACTTGTTTTGCCGGAGGGAGGGCAGGGGGGCAGCACGCTGCCCTACCCGCACAGCACCGCAGCCTTCACTTCTGACCTCCCGGCTGCTTTAAGCTGACATTTTTCCTTTTTTTTTAACGCCCAAACCCGCTGTCCTCGGCTTGCCGCAGCGCTCAGCTGTCGGGCCGCAGCCCAGCAGGGGGGGTCCCCGCGGCCGCCTCCCCACAGGGCGCCCACCCCGCGCCCGCCGCCGCCTCCCCCCCGCTACCTACCGGGCCCGGCCCGGGGCCCGCCGCGCCTCACGGCCCCGCTGCGGCGCTGGGGGCGGCGAGACCCGGATCCAGGGGGCCGGGCCTGCGAGGGAGGCAGCGGCCGGGCCTCGGGGCACGGCTACCGGGGCCCGCCCTACGGCAGCCCCGGGCCGGCTGCGGGTCCTCGGGTCCCCGGGAGCCGCGCCTGCTGCAGGGGGTGCGCGGTTTGGCCGTTCAGGGGCGGCTTGTGCTGTTATGGCTCTGCCTGAGGGCTGCTGGTTTCTGCGAGCTTCACCTTTGCTGCTACTTCCAGGAGACAGAGGGGGGGTGTGCGCTGCAGCGGAGGAGGCCTGGTGCTGCACAAGCACCAAAAAGCCCTGAGCGGCTGCATGAAGGCTTAATAGTACCTCAGCCACCTGCCAGCCTCAAACTGAGTGTGTTTCTCCAGTCTCTTGCACTCTGCCCAAAGTCAAGGAGTAATTTGAGTGTGACAGGGTGTGGGATGCATTGTGCCTACAGCCCCAAACTCGTACCCGTGGCACAAGACCATTCTTCAGTATTTCCTCCTGTTGCTGGCTTGGTAGAAAGGACCATTGGAGACAACTCGCTGTGCCCAGCCTTGTCCTGAAGGCTCCTGGAGGGTGCCTGTGCACAACGTGCCCTGCCAGAACTGCGAAACAAACTCAGGTTCTTCTGCGAGGGCCCACACAAAAGGCATTTACTGAAATTATTACGACTGCAGGACAAGAGATTGATCTTCAACAGTTGGAGCTTTCCCCAGTCATATCGCTCAGGAACAAAGAAGTTATTAAAAACAAACAAACAACAACAACAACAAAAAACACCTTAAACAGGTACCAGGAACATAAATTGTGTTCCCAAACAGAATTTCAGTCTTAATGCAAATTAGCAAATGTAAATCTATCTTTTAGTCTCATAGTCTAATATCTCTTTATCTTTGAACACAGATTTCCTTTATAATAACAGTAACAGCTAACTAGTTCTCCACTGAGATCCTGAAGATGATATGAGCCTTGTGGGAGGCCAAATTACAACCTGAGAGGAAGGTTCGTCTATTAAGATGGAAAAATTAATCCTGTTTCAATATTCTACAATTTTCCCAGTTAATAATAATAAGAATAAAGTATGGCCTGTTCATATGTTCATAATTTGAAATTTGTAAGCTCTTCAATTTTATAGAAACTTCACTAATTTCCAGAGAACAATTTTCACTATGATAGAAATAATTATTTTAAATTACATAATCCATTAGTGTTTAAAAACAAAACTAGATTATATGAATCCTCATGCTGATCGTATTTCAAATGTTTAGGAGTGGTAATAAATTTCTGTTGGATAACCTTTATTTGTATTTTCTCTTTTCAACACCATTTGCCAAAAATCTTTCTATAAGCCAAACAAAACAGGAAAGGTTATTAAAAAGATAATTAATCTGAGGACAAACATAGCTGAAACAGGCCTGCGGCCTTAGACTAGGCAACTTGCTTTCAGATATAATAGTCTGTGAGAACTGCTTTCTAAATCTGCCATTAGTTTCTCTGAATGCATTGCAACTCTGAAAATCAGGTCACAGGTCTGGATCCAATGTCCTAAATTGCTTTGCACCTGCAGCCACCTTACCCAGGCATTGCAATGCTGAAGTGTAGGAGTCATTGCGTGCGTGTCACCTGCCAGAGGACAACAGCTCCCCATGCTGGGACCTAAACACTGATTTACCTAGACTTGGCACATTAAAATGGCCTAAATCTGATAACTATTCTAAGCAAACTGCAAAGAAATGTTTTTAGAAAAGTGCTGTTATTCTGCATGTGTATTTTTTTTCTAGTTCAAACCAGACTTTGTACCTGAAGTCCTAATAAACATCCAAGTCCAGACCACTGTCTGTTAGACAACGTCAGGCTCATTGCTAAACAGTGTACTTTTAGCTCTACTTCATAAGGAGACAGAGCTTACGCTCCCACCTTGTCAGTGCACTGTCCTGCTGTCCCCTAATACCATGACACTTTCTTCACCCAGTAGCTCCTTCATCTGTAAATTAACTTCAGAAAATTTTGACAGAAAAAGAAAGAAGTCAATATACTGAGATTCCTGCAAGTTTCATGACGGTCAGCAGCTCTGATGTGATGAGACCCTGTTAACATTCTGCCTTCCTCCCCACCCGCCCCAGGCAGATGTTGCCAGATGAGCTCAGCACACCCGAGCTGCACTGCAGACACACCTGCCTGCTCACAACACTGTTCGTGTAACACCAGGCCACGTCGTTTAACTGGTCTATTGGGACATTTTGCGCTTGGACGGTAGCTTTGTGTCAGACTAGAAAAGTTAGCTTATTATTGAGCAATTGAGTTCAAAGGGTGAAAGCACCATTGCATTATAAGTAACCAATGTATGCTGTTTCCAGCCAAGATGTATATTAATAACGTACTGGTCTTCTAATTTCTGCATGAAAGCCATTTTACAATCGACATAAAATTCTTTAGCTATAATTTTTATTATTTTTTTTCTTTCTTTTTTTACTTTCTGGAAATGGCCCCCACCTAGATATTAACCTGCTGCTTGTAACAAATACAGAAACTTTTTCATCTCTTAGTAACACTTCATACTTATTATTTCAGCAGTTGTAAGCATATAATCAAGCCCTGTTAATAAATCACCAAATATTGCAAAAGTTTAAATACCTTTGACCAGACTTGCTACCGGCCTGTCAGAAATCCTACTGTTTTGTCAAGTTTTATTGAATTCTCCCTAGTCATATGGAGACTAGACTCTAAAATAAAATAAAATAAAATAAAATAAAATAAAATAAAATAAAATAAAATTCTAACTTACCTCAAAAGGAAGGAAAGCATTCACTGTCAGACTTGCATAAATATATCTTGATAAATCTTGTCAATATTCTCTGTTGCTCTTGCCCTGGACAATTGCCCTTAATGAAAAATTAATAAATTGGAGTCATAGGGGATCAATAATAGTGCACTGATATTTATTTATTTTTTTTTCAAATAAAGATACACTGTTTAGCATAATTCTCAGAGGAGATGAATTGCTATAACTGCACTGATTTTATGCCTCTGTGTGTGCACATGTAACTGTACCTCTGCATCCTCTCCAGTACTTTTGAATCTCTCAGTGATCACAGTTAGATTTAACAGAGAAATTAAGTAATGAAAAGTTTCTTTGAATTACTTGGTGTTTTAAAGGGGAAAACTCTGAACTTGTTCCCCAACTATGAGGAATATTGCTCACTCCTTGTAACACAACTGAGAATTCGCACAGGAGAAATGCATTTCGCAGGGGGAACTGAAATACCAAATATAACCTGATAGGAAACTTGGCTTCATTAGTTCAATGAATCAGTTCAACAGAACAATCTGTTCATTTATTTATTGTGTTGATGTGATCCAGTGCTGCAATTTCAGCTAAGCAAAAATGGTTACTAATGCCATGGTGCTAAAAAAAAAAAAAAAAGGAAAAAAGTGCTGCTCCTGCTTCTTTGTGTTTGTCTTCATCTCACTAGAAAGCTCAAGGACATTATCAAGATGTATTTATGCAAGCTATGTTAATTTTTTAGGCCAAGGTACATTATTCAACTTCCTTGGTACAATAAATGAGAGTTGGCAGCCCAAAATAATCTGTGTATGTTGTGGAGACAACAATAGGAATACATATGCAAGGTTACATTAGCCCTAACTCCACAGGGCTGCCTGATGTCTTCACAAAGAGAAGTTGTCATGGGAATGCCAGCGTATACATCAAAGAGAAAAAAGATATGAATAGTCATGAAAACATAAGAAGAGTGTGTGTACAAACATGTATTTTGTATCTACAAGTATATGATCCTCAGAAGAACATCAAAACTTTACAAACACACATGAGTATGTGTAGGTGTATGCCACATCACCCAATCCATTTTCTTCTATTTAATAAGAAACGTCCTTTTTTTTTTTTCTGCTTCCCTATACTATTTCAGAGCATTTAAAAGTATTTTAAAGAGTTGTACAGTTTCTACCTGCAAATGGCAGTGCCCCTTTCTGAACTCCACAGACCTATCCCTCCAGTATGGCTAATATATGTCCCTACGATGTCTGCAATTTCACATAAAAACACTAACCTTGTTCAGGGAATATGGTGTGTTCCTCCATTGTTTCTGCCTCATTTTTATACCAGCCTTTCTGAGTTTGTCAAAAATTTTCCTTCTGATTTCAAGTTTTCATCTAGGCCAGTACAGCTACGTGTACATCATCAAGTGGTGGGGACCGACAGGCATGCATTTGGAGGCAAAGCAGCTGTGCTGAGGCCATGACATCCCTGCCATGCCCCAGGTTAATTTTTGATGAGCTGTGGCCTGTTCTCAGGAACTCCGTGCATACCTAATGCTTCTGCAATGGATCTTCGCAAAGTGTGGTTCCAGTGTCCCAGGCCTGTTCCATGGGGTGAAGCAAAGCTTGCCAAGTTGGGACAACTGGGAGATTTGCCTCAGCAGTGCACACCTAACCCAACCCAAATCATTGCTCTGTAAATACACATTTACACTGGCAAGCATAACTGCATCTCCCATAAGCCCTCGAATTAGCTGTGGCTTGTAGCATAAAAGGAAGACATCATAACACTCCGACAAGACAAAACAAACCCATGAAGTCAAGTCCCTGCCTAACTAAAGCCACTCAGTGAACATTTTTCTTTATCTCTAAAGAATAAGTCATTTACGTATCAAAGTTTTCAGCTGATACCATTGCAAAGACTAGAATAGAATCACAGAATCATTAAGGTTGGAAAAGACCTTCAAGATCATCTGGTCCAACCATCACCCTGCTACCAATGTCACCCACTAAACCATGTCCCTAAGCACCACGTCCAACTTTTGACTACTTTTGAATATTTTAAAAATAAATGACACACTTCTCTTCCCAAACATCCCTTCAATGAAATGAAGTTTAAAATAGTGAATATTTTACTACTAATCACTTGAGTGAACATGAAGCTTGTCAACATTCACCACTCTTTGACAGCCTTCTGTGTTGCTGATGAGAGACTGGTAACACAGAGCTTACTACCTTTACCTAGCTCTGTTGCAGACATGTATGTGTCCCTCAGTAAATCATTTCACCACTTAGCATTTGCATTTCCCTTTCAGCAATACCATGAAATGTTAAAGTTATAGCTATACGAGTACTTGTATATATAAAAATTATGCTATACACAACATGAAGACAGGATTTCTGCTACAGTCAATGCACGCACATATTTACATTTGCAAGTACATAGACACACACACAGAGCATGCGACGTTGCAGATTGTTTCAAGTCCCTTGTTTTGCTTTTCCAGCAGGTCTGTTAAAATACAACGTAAGTGCAGAATGTGTTTTAATTGCTGTTTGCACCTGGTCGTGGCGTTTGAGGAGCTTTTTGTCTCTGGATCCGAGCTAGAGCCCCCTGGAGGCCGAACAGCAGGTAACTGGGGCAGCCTCCTCATTCGCCGTTCTCCTGCTGCCACCTTTTGGGGGAAAAAAAATGTGCAAAGAGAGCATCAAAACCAGCTGTCAAGAACGGGAGCGCTGTGTCCGCGTGTTTCCATCGCTATAGCTGCTCCAAATTCAAAAATATTGCAGCCAAGACGTACGACTGGGACTAAACCAGCGGGTCACGCAGGGAACCGGTCTCCAGCGTGGCGCAGAGAGCTGCTCTCTCTGACCACGGAGGATTTTGCAGCATCTTTTTTTACCAGAAGCAACGCTCACCGCCCCCTGGCCCGCCCTGCCATGGCGCCGTGACGGGGCCGCGCGGGGGAGCCCGAGGGCCGCCGCCCGATGGCTCCGTCGCGGCCCTGAGGCCTGGACGCTGCCTGGAGGCTTTCGCCGGCTCCCGACTGACGGTGTAAGACTGCTGTGGGGTTTCCAGCCCGGCAATAAACGGGAAACCTCGTGCCTGAGTGCCTCTGTGGGAAATCCTCGGGGAAAGGGAACTGGGCCGGGATGGCGGGCTGCGAAGTCTCTCCACGCAGAAGCATCCTGCTAAGGGTGGGTGCTGCTAGCTGGGCGCCTCACCAAGGTCGGTCTCAAGAGGTTCAGGTGGTGTGGCGAGGCACTGAACAAACAGAGGTGTTAGTCTTTGGTTTTCACTAGTTTTATCTTTGGTGAAGAGATAAAACTCTAGGTAAGAGATAAGAGGTAAGGCAAGAGGAGATAGGGGATCTCAGGTGTGGAAAAGAGGAAAAAAAGGATGCAGGTGGGAAGAAGAATGGTGGTAAACAAAGCTGCGTGGACAACAGCTTGCTTCTACGCCAAGCAGGAGTCGAGTTTTTGCACTCATTTCCCACTTTTCCCTGCCCTGAAATCAGTGTTCACTGGGGCTCTGAACTCACCAACTTATCTGAAAACCATTTTTTTTGCTGAGTTACTTTTCTGACAGGTTGGTGGTGAAAGCAGGAGCAGACGACCAAGGGCTAAAAGAAAAAATGAGCAGTTGGATTGACTTGACCCATCTCATGGAAGTGCACCTTGAGGATACATGGCTGATTGGGACTGTTGTAGTGGGAAAAGGGTACCAGACACATGGACAAAGGAACAACAGCACTAAACTGCTCGTATCCAGAAAACACCTGCACCAGGAGAGTACCTGGTATCTCATACACTAGTTAAAAGAGCAGCAGAGCTCTCTGTGGTGTTTGCTCTTGTTTCAAGCACAGATCTGCAACGAGTTAATTCTCATGGTGTGGCTCTGTGTAGCCTGACCCTGGACAAAGATTCAGCTTTGAGTATTTTGTCCCCTGAGTCTTAGAAAAAATATCAAAGAGAAAGGGAAACAGTAGAAAAGAAGCACCAAATAAAAGCAGAATGATCAAAAGTAAAAACCTAAGGTAAAACCAAAGAAGCAAGAAATAAAGGAAGGTAGAAAAAAGTCTGTAAAATTTTAAAGGCTTAGAGAGCTTGTCTCTGCATCAAAGGTGACCGTGACCTGGATTCCTTCCTCCTGAATTTAAGTGTGTTACCAGGGTGCATAGGTATGGGCTTTCTCTAACTTCTGTGTAGAGAAAGGCACCTTCAAAGGGCAACAGCTCCTTAAGTAGGACAGCAGCATCCATCTGCCTCTGGCTGTAGGTGACCCTGATGCTTGCTCTTATATGCCTAGGGTATGCTGACCTCTGCCTGTTGCAAGACAATCCTTGTCATGGAAATTAATGGAGAAAGATATTTGGATTGTAATATATTTGAGGTCAGCCCATGTGACCATTATTTTCTCTTTGGTCTTAAAAAAAACGTGACTTTAGTTTCAACCTTTGGCAAGATGTCCTGCAATCTATTTTGAACTGAAACAGGAGGATGAGCAGAAAATCACAACGCTGTGACAGCTTCCCTGCTTATCTTGGCTGCCTTCTCCCAAAAAGTTGTGCTGAACAGCAGTCTGGTGCAACAATGAAACTTGACCATTATTTCTAAACAAACATGGATTTCTCTGTGCATTTTTTCTTATCTGTATCTCTTTTTATGCTTTAATCCCTTTGAGGCAATGGCAGTCTTTATCTGTGGTGGCACTAAAACCATAATCAGTGTTCAACAGTAAAGCATAGAAGTTAGCTCAATCCAAGCTGCAAAACAGCATGGTTTTAGACACTTACATTTGAAAAGTCAAGTTGCTACTTAGGTTCTGGTTGGTATTCTGTATTCTTTGTAATATCTACTTCTAAGTACCACGAGGAGATGAAAAACATGCACTAAGCACAAGCTTCCTATTTCCATTGTGTTTTACTTTCTAATACATGGAAAAGAGTAGTACATGGAGGGTTGCCATGTAAAGAAATAGTATGATAATTGATTTGTTAAGAAAGCAAAGTCACAGTTACAGTTTAACAATACTACTTATCAGGAACAACATCCTGATTGATTTCAAAAGCTCAGCTTCAGTGCTAGTACTCCTGGGCCCAGTAATTTTGGTAGCTTTGCATACTTCAGATAGATGCCATTATTCATATAAGCTATAAATGCGTCTCAGTCAGATGAGGCAACAAGCGTGAGTTATTAAACAACTGGATGTTTAATAAAAGAAGCGTATACTTCTTCCTGGGAAAAAAATACCAGGAGAATTTACTTTCCTTTTCAGTTCAAAGAACATTGACCAATTCTAGGATTCTAATAAAAAGCAGAACTTTCTATCAGATGATTACAGTGTTGCATAAAAGCCATTATTTAAAGTTCTGGGCAAGGCACCTGCATTGTTTTGGCGGTCACACATGAGTGAATAGACATACTTAATTCTGGAGGGAATATCTGACATTTCAGAAATGTATTCGTGGCTGGGTTGCGGAAGCCAGCATTACAGACCAGTTGTAATGCTAGGTCTCCCAGGGCCCTGTGCCTTCACTCTGCAAGGCTCTCTGTCTTTTTTGCCATTTTCATCTGGAAAGACAATGGCAAAACAGGGCAGAACTCGCTGGAAATTTCTGACAGCACATTTCTCCACTGGGGAAAAAAACAAAAACAAATTGTAATTGACAGATTTCTGAGTAGTGCATTGGCTCTGACAGAAGCCAGGCAGGATCCCAAGCTGCCTGCTTCCCCTGCAGGCATACTTGGCTTCCTATGTCAGCAGCTTGCATGCTTTCTGGGCTCCTTCACAGTGCTATAAGGAAGCTACCATTGGTCAAGGAGCCTGCAAACCTGCGGGGTGGAACCAGGATCAAGCCCACATTTTCAGGATGATCCAACTTTGGACAGATAGTCTTTTCCAGAAATGTGGAGGATAAAATCTGGTTCTCCAGCACTCTGATGACCAAGCAGATGGTCTCCTTTCCCAGAGCACCGGAGGCAATGCCAACAGCAGAAGGAGCAACCATCCTCCTCTAGCCCAGAAGTAGCAGCAGAGGTAAGGTGATCCAAGGAAAAAGAGGTATCCCCTCTTCCCTTTTCGAGATACAGAGGTGGAAGGAACCCATCAGCACCATGGGGCTGTGGCTGCTGGGCTTTTCTGTTCCTGGCACATACCATCTTCCGTGGAGATACAGTTGATGGATACTTAGCACAGATCAGTGAGCAAGGGCAGTAAACACAGGGTAATTAGTAGTTCTCAACTCCTGTTTTCAGACTGATAAAGGCACTAGCACACCCTGCTACATCAGTGATGCTCGGATCTTGTTTGAAACTCTCCTTCACTGGGCATCTACAGTTTTTAAGCAAGTAGTGAAAAGCTAAGCAACTGTTCAACCTGAATATTTTTAGGCTTTCTACCTGTAAACAGCTGTTCTTCAATACAGCTCTGAGCATGTGTATTTCCTTTGCAGTAAACACAACATAATTGTGATTACCCAGGCAACACATGGCAATTCTGCTTCTCTTCCCTGTAGAGGAGAAACTGCTGTACAGTGAATTTAACTCAAGCCCAGAACACTCTGTGTCACGTAGACTTCAGAACAGCGCAGATCCTGAAGTCTTTATTCAGGCCCTGTTTAAACAAGCTGCACAAGCATAAGTCTAACTAACATCATGGCTCACTGAATTTAGGTCCCAAGGCTAACTCAAGCAAAGTATTCAAGGAAGTTAAACCCAGGCTGCAGCTTTTGATCTGTCATTCATATCAGAAGCCTTACACCTGTGAATAAGGCCTATTATTACTTTCTCTTTTCATAACTTTTAGTTCTCGTTAGGCTTTCACAGTCACCTGTAATGTATTTTCCCAGCTAGAGATATTTGTAGAAGCAAATAGAGCAGGACAGCCTTGTAAGACATCTGGTCAAGAGGCAGCATTGAACTTGTCACAACTAAGTGATTTGCCATAAAACAGTGGAAAAAAAAAAACACATTAATCTTTCACTGGTTCCGTTCTAGGTTGTGAGAAGAGAGGTGAATTTTATTTTTTTTTTAAAGTGTTTTCTATACACAATACCAGAAAGTTAAACATGCATTTTCTTCTTTGTAAGCAAGTCCAAGCTTCTGGCTACAGTCCAACAGACGTTTTTCTTTGTCCATTAAGGCAATCTCCTACACAGTTTACCAGGGGAGGATGAAATTCCTCACGCTGTGTTATAAACATTCATCATTGAAATCACGCTCCTAATAGCAAGAACAGCAGGCAAAATTTAAGACAGCTCTGTGCTGCGTGTGCTTTCCATAGAGAGACTCCAGAATCAGGACTGAACCTGTAAAGCTAAAGACCAAACAAGCCACTGGGAAAAGCTTAAACATGACAGATTTCTATCACTAAGAATTTGGACATTCAGTGAAAATAGGAAAAACCTCATTCTGTCACTCCAAACATAAGCTGAAGTAATACTTAGATGTCAAAGGAAAGAGTTCTGGCCAGGGAGATCTCACTTACCAGCTCACCTCCCCGTCTTCCCTTTCAGCTGCAATTTACTCCCTTCTCTGCCAGTCTCCCTAATTAGTTCAGGGGATATGTTTTTGTATAGCCCTAATAAAGAGGAATCACCTTAGATATAGCGCTTCCCCAGGCGCTGACCTTTTGCTCTGCATCCGTGTCCTGTGCCAGCTCCTGGGAGGGAGGGCTAGGCAAGGATTTCCTATGTGCTGCCATTGCCAGCAACGGGGAAGTTGGACTTCCCTCCCTCCTTTAGGCCTGTGCTACCACCATTAATGAATTATTTCCTTTATGAAAGCATTTTTGCAAAACTGAGTAGGGAAAAAGCCAAGAGAGCTATCAAAAACTGAACAAGTTACTACAGAATTTCTCAAGCATTTTCAAAGATTAAAACTTTCTGCAGTCCATGTTTCTAGAACAAAATTCATGAACCTCCATGAAGGGCATATTTTTATTGAACAGATTAATTTGTAAGGGACTTCCAAATGGTCTGTTAACATGCAAACGGCAAGAGGCTGCTGGGGTGGGATTTTCTGGGCATACTGTGAGCACGTGAACACCAGCCTTCTGCCACTGCACCTGGTTTTCAGAGTTAGGTTTTAGCAGTGTAGCTGGCAGGTTTTTAGTGTGTGGACCTGGCGAGTCTGGGAGCCCCATTGGACTGTAACTTACATAGAAGGCTGTGCTGAGTCCTGGCAAGCCTAGTCATCCAGAATTTAATGGTGCATTAGAAGGAAACATGCCAAAATATCTACCTGAACTGTTCCCTCAACACATTCCTTTGTGGTGTTTCTTGGCTAGTTGCTCAATCCCTTAGATCTGAAAACTGAAAAAACAAAACAAAACAAAACAAAAACACACACACAAAACAAACAAACAAACAAACAAACAACAACAACAAAAAGAACCACCACCAAAAAAAAAAAAAAAAAAAAAAAAAAAACAGTTCTAGAACTGAAAGTAAATAAATAAATAAATGAATGAATAGTTGGTGCTTGGAATTATATTCTTCACAATTCTTCACATATCATATGTGGCAAAAATACCCCAGAATATTATAAAACTTCAATTTTCTGAAAAGAAAGGCAACACCTGAGAAATAATTGTATGTTCCTAATACATACTATTAGGGTAGCATACTTTTAGTTAATACTCTAAAGTAGCAAAAGAGTGCTTGTGAATTTACATGCAGATATATGAAAGTCAGAAGTGCTCTGTAGACATTTAGTTTTTCAAATTTTGAGTGAGATATTGCAAAATTGAGACTTTGAATAGATTGCCTTTTAAAGCAATCTTAGTCAGAAAAGGTTCTTTAGACTAACACTACACTCTACAAACACAAACATATCCTGTTACATCATAACCTCTCTCAGTTTGTTCTCTGTGAATGGCTTGGTCAAAATCCCATCAATTGCAGTGCTCCCCTCTTCCTTTCCCCAGTGGATCTCTATTTAGGTAGCACTTTAAAGCAGGCACACAAAAAGCGTGAAATTGTGGTCCTAGGGAAAGAGGAGAGCTTAGCACAGGAAAAGATCCAATGTACAACTAGCAAAGGATTATGGAGGTTATTTAATTTGTGTTTTCACAATTCACATATGTGGATGATTACAACGTCTGCTGCAGAAAGTGGAGAGGATTCTGTGCTTGCCTGTGTTGCTGCGCCACGAGAAAACAGTCTGGGTTAGCTGGGTCGTGACAGTCAGTCGTGTCAATCAACAGGAAAATGCAGGGCAGATTTCCTGGAAATGATGGAACTGGTATTTTTGTAAATTGTGGAGTATTTCGCATTCGGGCTGTATGAAATTGTGGTGTATTTATAATTCTTTTTGTAACCATAGTAAACACTGGAAGTTGTTTCTTGCAGAAGTAATGCTTAGTGCGAATGGTCCTTGGCTGTCTGCTAGCTACAAACCGAGCAGTGAGTTCCACCAGAGCAGCAGTCACAGCACAATGGTTTGTATGCACAACATGCTACTGTACCTACTGCACATGCTGTGTAAACATCAGCTCAGCAAGCAATGACAGGAATTTGGAAGTAATTTTGCATTGTATATTTGTGGTTTCTTTCCATTTCCTTGACCAGACAAAATAAAGCAAGGAATCCTCTTAGTGCTCAGCTAATGATTGCCACGGGTAACTTCTACTGCAAAAACAGTCTCACATATATAAAATTCCAGCTCTCTTCTCCATAAAGAAGAAATTCCTTCCAAATGTCCTGTCCCCAGATGACCATGATATGTCATAACATTTCAGCCACAATTCCCTGTACATCATGGTGTTATTGGGGGTAACAGAGTCCTTAGTCTCCTGTTGGAGCGAGGGAATCCTTTCACTGTCTTCAACAAGCTTTGGATCACTCTCCGTCTTGCTTAGCCCATTTCGGGGAGAAGCCAGTGACTCTCCTAGACTTCACCCTCTCTTCCTTTTGGGACACCTATTCATTTACAGGCTTTTTGAATCTTAACTATTGTCTTAGGAGAGGTTTGTGATTTTTTGTTTGTTTGTTTTAAACCCTGGCATTGGACTGTGAGTTGCTTATAGACTAAGAAGAGCCTTGTGTTTATAAGCATCTTGAGAAAACTGAATCACAAGTATTCAATAAAATATAACCAGCAGTTAAATTACTCACAGATACAAGAGTTTAACTAAACACAGAAAATACCCTGGTGTTCCACCCCACAGGGTCTTATCGCGGTCAGCTTGGCTTCTATACTACAAAAACATCCTCAGCTCTTCAAATATGCCAATAAACTTCCCCTGCGAGGCAGACTTCAGCAAATAAAGCCATCCACTCACGCTACATTGCCAGTGTTTGCTTGTTAGACTGAGAATAAAAGAGCCAAAAATGTCTCCACTGAACCAACAAGCTGCTGAAGGGGTTCGGAAAAGCATGGGAAAGCAGAAGAGTTGACGCCATAGAGATAGGATTCGGGACAAGGTGATGTCAGTGCCTAGCATGCAGCATTTTTAGCACGCAGACAGCAAAACATACAGACTCCAGAATCCTTCCAGCAGCCAAGCAGTTCTGCCGAAACACGGATGTCACAGGGGAGGTGTTTAACAGACTTGCTGTACAGAGCCAGACTGAGGTCTTCAGAGAGAGAAATGAAAGGCGCACATCTGGGAACTAAACCAAACCAATACTGGTACTGTAATTGCACGAGGCTTTCACTTGCTATCACATATAAAGGAGGTTGTACGTTTGAACAATTCTTTTTTAAAGTTCACATTGATTCTCCACTCTATTGTCTTATAAATGGAGATATGCAGAATAAAAAGCTTCGTTGATGGATATCAGACTATACTATCAATAACCAGAATAAAAGAGAGTTGGTCCCCAAAGTAATATATTATTTTTCTATGAATAAGAACGTTAGAGAAAGCAGCGATAAAAAGGGAATAGCGCAACTCTCCAAAGACTGAATGCATCCACAGCGTAATGATGTTCAGGCAGCATGCTGGGAAACAGAATTGGTCAGGAATGAGCAATTAGTTCAAGGAAAGGAAACATAAAAATGAGGTTAGAAACATAGGGAACTTCTAAAAAAAAAAAAAAAATTATATATAAAACAGAATTACCTTGAGAAAAAAGGTTTTCATTTTTAAAGCAATTTATTTGGCACGGATTAACAAAGCAATAGTTCAGTCTAAGGACAGCAACTATTCGCTTTCCAAGAAGAAGCAAATGGATATCCTCTATTAGATGCTAAGAAAAATAAGTGTATGACAACAACAACAAAGCAATGTTTGTGGGGAAGGAGAACTTAAGGGCCCCAGAAGACTCAGAGAACTCCTGAGGCAGAGATATCCTGTGCCCAGTGCTGTCTCTTTGCTACTTGCACCCTGGCCTGGGCATAGCACCAGAAAAAAGCCATTGTTTTCACCTTTGGTATAGAGATGATGGTCTGGGGGTTAGTGAGCATATGGTCTACAGCATTTGGGCTTCAAATGGGAATCCTTTTATTCAAAGTCAGAGTAGATGGTCTTTGAAGGTCCCTTCCAATCTAATCTATAATTCCACAAAAATTTCTAGTTACAAATAACATTTGTGGAATATCTGTATCAGCAGCCATTACATTTACAAGGCTGCTGAATTAAGGAAAGCCTCAACGTTTGCATTATTCTGTTTGTTAGCAAGGCATGTGCCGTGTGTCCCTGGACTTGCTGAGTCTGTTTGGACCCAAGACCAGGCATTGCACCTTCGTGCAGTCTCCTGACTGCCTCAGCCTCAGGCTGACCTGATCCTCTGGAGCATGTTGTACCCCAGGCCACCAGCAAGGCCACCAGCAATCTCCTGTAGTCCCAGATTGTTCCAGCCACTGGGCAAACCTGTGTCCCTCGTGTGCCATGCAAAAATATTTGCTCCACATAATTTATTGGTAACTTACTTAGAAGCAGGTTTAGATGGTCATTCAGGGGAGTTCTTTCTGGCTGGGTGCTCGTGTTGGCAGAAGGAGAAAAACAAACATAAACAGAAGGAAGGACCTAATGCACGGTTTCTTCTGATGCGAGGTTTGACGAACCAGAGCCGCAAACTGCCCCAGTGATGGGAAAACTGGAGCAGGAAAACACATCTAGAGCTGTGCATTTTGGGGCTGATTGAGGTCTGAATGTGCTGCACGCTGCTCTCTGAGCACTGGGGAGCTCAGGCACAGGCGAGTGCAGCAGCAGAAGTGCGTACAGCTGCCTCTGAGGGCTGAACCAGGAGATGCTACCTGGGCTTGTGACTGTGCTTTGTGGAACTCACAAAGACTTATAACTACTTTTTTTTTTTTTTTTCATTAAAAGCACAGTTTCTCTTTCACTCATCTAGAAAACCTTCACTGAGCCCCTGGAGGAACTTAGGCCCCTACCTGCCTCATTCTCTACCCAAATTCAGACCTCCAAACCCCAGGCTGCTGTTGGCATGCACCTGCCTGAGGAGGCACAGGAGCAGCGTGCTGCCTGCTCTTCTGCCTCTCAGCACACTGTAACTGCTGTGGTGCTGCTGTGCCCCTGCTGTTACATCTCTGAGTCCTTAAACAAGCTCTTAGCTGACCTACAGTGCCTGCAGGCCCGCTGCACCAGGCATTTTCCATATTGCTGTCACAGGGTCAGGCACACAGTGCTCGCAGCAAAGGTGTTTCCTCCTGATACCCGACAGCCACATGACTACTGCAGCCTCTGGGAGACAGGAGAGTCTGCCCCCCAAAAAAGGGACATCTGATTTTTGTGGAATAACCAACACCCTTCTCATGATGGGAAAAGCAAGACAGCACCCTCTTCATGTGAAAAGGGATTGAGTGACTAGCTTTTGGTGCTGCAGCAAAGGCACGTGGTGGCAAATAATGGGATGTGAATGCTTCCATCCAGCATGGGGTGGAGGTAGGTCCTCACCTGCCCCCGAGCTTTGCTCTTCCCCTCAGCACCATCCACTGGCCTAGCAATCAACATTTCAGCTTCACGAGACTCAAAGCTCTCCTCACACCGTGCTTGATGAGGTACCCAGGTACTAATTGGGAGGGGTGGATCCCCTTTGTGTTGTTATTGCAGGACACAGGAGGGAAAATGGACAGGGAGAGCCGAGGGAGCACAGCACACCCACCCAGCCCATTTGGCAGCCTGAGCTGGAAATCTGAAATGCCTGCTCTGCAAGAGACATTTCCTTCCTGAAGACACTGGAATGAAGACCTAGCGCAGGGCTGCATTGAATGCACGTTCCGTGCTAAGGCTGTAGTGCATACCCCAGCACCACTACAGGCAGCTGTCTGCATGTGTGACCCTTCCCTAAGCACCAGAGGCAAATCCACAGGGAAGGTCATTTGCTGCAATTCCCCTAGCCCGGGTGAAGCTGCAACAGCCAGTGATAGCACAGGGTTTAACAGACTTGTTTTTCCGGGCAGCAACAGGCAGAGGCAGCATATCACAGCTCTTCTGTCATGAAAGAAAATGACCCTCTTTACTCTATTTCAAGGCAAAATTAGGATTTTCTTTCATCCTCACATATCTTCTTTAGGAACAGACTCAAGTGAAGAAAGTTTTTGAGGCGTTTGGATTCTGGAGGCTGCTTCAGAGCTATCTTGGAACCTCCTGAGAGGATTTCCAGAGATTCTCATCAGCTCCTCATAAAAGATCTTGCCAAGCCAAGAGGGTATGTGGGCCAGTTTCCAATCTCACCTGAATTCCCCTCTGTCCTCTTCTGCATTCTGGGGTTAGCATATTTCCTAAAGAGATGCTGTTTGCTTTCCTTTTTCCTTTTTCATGTGTGACACGAGCGTGCACAGTGCCCCAGGTATTTGGAGCCCCCAGGCATTTGCTTGTGCTCACACTGAACCCATTCTCACCCAGAGAGTATTTTTCATGCTCAGGACAGACACACGGGTGTTTCTGGAAAACCTGGCCTTTCATCTTCTCCAAACTAGCCATAATAAGCATCAAAAGATTTTAACCTGCATTTACTGAGCCGCTATCCCACAAACAATTTGCAGGTCAGTTTACATACCCTCCACGCAGTCTTTGGGCTTTAGAGGATGGAAGCAACCCTGGCCATGCCAACGGGTGTTACATTACGTGACAGCCTGGTGATGTTGGGTTAACCTTCAAAGAAACTGGACTGAAAGCATGTAACTATTTTCATTACAGCCTCCACCTGGACTGACATCACAGTCTCACATAATAAACAAGAGCCCTGTCCACTAAACCCTTTCAAGCTGTATGTTTTAATCAAGTTTTCAGCTGATGCAAAGATTTTGGTGAAAATCCCACTTTGAAAAAAATCACACTGTGAGTGCCTTTATGTTTGTGGATTTCCCCTTCCCTTGATCACATTTTATTTTGTTCCGCTTTCTTTACTAATTTTGCCAAAACTAACTTCTGCTGGCTTTGGTTTGCTTTACTCCCAGGTTTTTACTTCAAACATTTGATTTTGAAAGGTTTTAAAATCTGGACTTGGGAATAAATGTCGCAGGTTTTCAAAGCCAGAGCAATTTGCTTTAGCAAGCTGGTGTATTGCACCTGTATCAGCTTAGTGGCACAAAACATCTTTGGGGAATTTTTCGTTAAAGATTTTTCATTTTATTTTCACTTAGACATCAGAACAAGAGCCTAGCCAAGACTGATTGAACTTTAAATAGTTTTACTCACAGCAGTGAGGAGAAACGGGATGCATAAAGGGTTTGCTTGCTGTGTGCTTGGCCTGTGTAAACGCCATGCCATTAGTACCAAAATTATTCACACTTGTGTTCCTCACTTAGTGGGTGAAAAAGAATAAAGTATCTGAAGTTTGAGCAGATAAGGCAAGGGTTCAACCCATGCTGTGAGGGAAAATTTACTTTACTAAAGCTGAAGAACTGGCTGATGTGCCTGACAATCGTAGACAATTAGCAGCATTTTAAGACACAGCCAAATTTGGCATTTTTATACATGCTAACACTGTTTTGTGCTATTTAAATTATTCACGTGTCTTATTTTGTATGCCCAGGGTGAGAGATCTGCCCTTGTTAGCACACTTCATGTTGCTGCTCATGACCTCGGCGTTATTTCATATAGGCAAAAGCTGATGTTTGCTTCGTTGCTGTCATTTTACTAGGGATGGGTCATTATGCAATTATGGGTCCTTTAATACACAAATTAATTAGCTTAATTACTTTGTATTTGCCTGCTCTGGCTGGGCCCTTTGCCTAATGAAAAGATCTGTAACGTAGGAGCTGGCTGTCCGCTCTGAACTTGTCATTTCTCCACACGCGCTGCTCTGCCACAGCTTTTGCTGGGCACACAAAACAGGATGACAATCAGAATGCGCAGAGGGGAGAGAAACTAATGAACAAAGCCTGTGTTTGACAGCTTCAATGTGCTGAAGCCAGCCAACACCTGAAGTCACCTGATGCCGGTTACAGGCACACCTGCTGACAGAAGCTGGGGCATCTGCAGGGAAGATGCAGGTCTAGAAGATGTGCTCACAGCCCATCAGAGCTGGAGGAATACAGCTCAGGCACAGCCCACTGCTGGCTAGGCTGGGAGCTGCAGATACCTACGTCTTGGCTGAAATGGTATCTGACCCCTTTCCTTAAGCTGCTGCATGGGAAGGTCATGTGGGAGGCAGGTGTTAACCCTGTTTAGATCCTTTTCTGCAGGTCTGTCGACTGGCAAGGAGACCCAAAACAGGCAAGGGAGATGGATTTGTTTCAGCCCATCCTTCTGTCATCCTTATGTTGGGTAGGAGCTTTCCAAAGCTGTCGTTACTGGACTCCTTGAGAAGTATCAAAGTGAATTTGTCATGATTGGAAGGAACTGGATCACCATCTAAGGCCATCGGGGAGGAGAAGTCAGAGAAGCAAGTGATGAGTAGAGTTCAAAGAGAAAGTACTCCTGCTGGACCCGTGCCGGTTCTCAGGTCCAAGCTCGGCATCCATATGGGCTGGACACAAACCTGTACTTGGTCAGAGCACTTAGAGGACTGAGGCACACAGTGGGAGCCAGCCACATCCCTACATGTAACTGTGCCAGCATGTAATCCCTCTCCAAACATCCTGCTGAGACTCCACCTGCACTTCTTTTCTCTCATTCCAGAACCTACGAGTTTCCTCACCAACTGCCTCCTGGTTCTGCGGGCACAGCCATCTGCAGTGTCTGGAGGTGGAAACCTGAGAGCGCTCCTTCAGCTGCTTGGTGCCTGGTCATGTCAGCTCTCCAGTCACCTCCACTCAGCAACATCTACTGGCTTTTTGGGTACCTTCAGAAACAAGGAAGTCAGATATATTCCCTGTAGAATATTCCCTTTTTTGTCCTTCACTGTGAGTTGCCAATCATTTAATCTTCATCCTCTTTATTGTTTGTTTTTTTTTTTTTATTATTACTTGTTTGTATTTTTTTTACACAATTTCAGAAATGCTGAGGTTGGATGGGACCTCTCAAGATCATCTAGTCCAACTCCCCATGCTCAAACAGTGCCAGCTAAAGCAGGTTGCTCAGGACATTGTCCAGTTGGGTTTTGGAATATCTCCAAAGGCGGAGACTCCACAACCTCTCCGGGCAACCTGTGCCGGTGTTTGATCACCTTTACACTAAAAATAAATAAATTTCTACATTTAAATGGAATTTCTTGTGTTTCAGTGTGTGCCCATTGCCTCTTGGCCTTTCAGTGGGCACCACCACATTGCTGGCTCACTTGTAGTCTGCTGGGATCCTCAGGGACAGCTTTCCAGCCAGCCAGCCTTCAGCATGTACTGGTGCATGGGGTTATTCTTCCTCCAGGGCAGGACGTTGCATTGCACTTCTTGAATTTTGTAAGGTTCCTCTTGGCTCATTTCTTCAGCCTGTCAAAGTCCCCCCGAGTGGCACCAAACCCATCTGGTGTATGAACCATTCCTCCTTGTATTGTACCATCTGCAAACTTGCTGAGGGTGCAATCTGTCTCTGCATCTAGGTCATTAATGTCAAGGTTACCTAACTGCAGAACAATCAGATATTTCAAATGCTGATAGCTTTTACCCACTGGTAACGCTTTTGCTCAATTTATTTAGGAATATCCTGTTTGTGGAAAGTAAAGACAAACAATTCTCCATTATTCACCTTTGTGTTTTAGGTGCAACATAAAGCCAGGGGATTATTAAGTGAGCCTTAATCTGATGAAAACTGTAACAGAGTATTTCCAAGAAAGCAGTTTTGTTTTTCAGGATGAACGTCATGCAACAACAATTAGAGGAACACTAAGACTTATTTTTTTACTAAAGATTATGTACTGAAAACAGTCTGTTTTCTGAAGTGGGTTTTGTGGCTACAACACGGAACACACATACTAAAAAAGAACAAAGGAGACATTAAAAGATACCTCCTAGCCCTGGAGTAAAACTAAAACACTGGAAATAGGATGTTCCCAGAAAAAAAAAATAATAATAATAAAAATTTAAAAATGCATAAAGCGTATCTAAATATATGTATAAGTATATAAAAATATATGCAGCACAAGCATACCCTAGCTTTGACAACACAGTGTAGTATGTATTTTCATGCCAATATCACACACAGAATCACACAGAATTTCTAGGTTGGATTTCAAGATCATCGAGTCCAACCTCTGACCTAACACTAACAGTCCCCACTAAACCATATCCTTAAGCTCTTCATCTAAACTTCTTTTAAAGACCTCCAGGGATGGTGACTCCACCACCTCCCTGGGCAGCCTGTTCCAGTGTCTAACAACCCTTTCAGTAAAGAAGTTCTTCAGTATGTGTTCATTCTCTTGATGCAAACGTGTGCAAAAGATGGGAGACAGATCTGAGGTGGGGAAGTAACAGATGTATACACAGACATGCTTGTAAAGCTCTCCTGTGTAAGAAACAGAACAGCAGCTAGAATTTGCACAAGGCCAAGAGCCTCTATCCTCTTTCCTAGCAATAAACAAGGCCCTATAATGTCTCTGATACATTGATCTTTGCATCTGTCTTACCAGAACTGTGTCTCTTTTGTGTTTTGTGACAGTAACCCATAGGGTACTTTGCTATCACTCTCAATCCTGAAAGATAATGGGGCAAAACATAACTGTTGTTTGTTCCTTTGCGTTCACAGGCTGTGTTCCTGTTTGATTAGTGATGTTTCCTCTTTCCTGTCCTTTGTTTATTGCTCTAACACATTTCCTGTTTATCAGTTTATAGTAACCAGACAAAAATAAAATTGTTTAGAGCTCTGAGAGACCTCTGTCTGGAAGTGCTGGAGGTTCAATCAGACAAAGTGTTTGACTTCTGCACTCCTTCCTGATCTCTCTGCTTCCTCTTCCTCTCCATTTTCTCTCCCCTTTCCCAACTCTCCTCTCTTTGCCATCTCACATGGTGTTTTTCACTCACCCCCAAACCTTTCACTCACCCATTCAGGCACTGGAAACTTAAGTATTTGGCCAGAAGGAGGGAAGGAACCACAAAAAGAGGCCACAATGCAGCCAGTGTAAACATGTGCTTCACAGAGGCAAACCATCTTGGTCCAGCAGTACTGGTAAGAGAAACAAAGCTGGACTTGGCTCTCCTGTGATAGGACGTGCGCAGGGCAAGCCAAACAACTGAGTGAAACTGAGCCCATTGCTGGGCGTCCACCAAAACCTGGATTTAGAATCGTGAACCTCAATAAATAAATAAATAAATAAATGCTGCTTTTGCTTCTTCATGATTTGGGGGCATTTAGGGTTTACAATTCTAAGCTTCCTTTTACCATATGGAAGATTGTTGTTTTTAAATTACTGGGTTTTTTTTTGACAGAAGCTGACATTCACAGGTAACATCCTGACAACAGCATCTGGAGCTTTAAAAAGACAGGACAATACAGACACCACTCCAAAATACCACAGAACCCTACCAGCAGAGAGACCTCTTTGCCTGTTGAATGCGCCTGCAATTGCCCTGAATTTGCTAGCAGTTTGGAAGCAAGTTATCCTGGTCTCTTCATCAGGCTCCATGTGTGCCACCTGCACCAGCATTCCCCAAATGTACACGTGCAGAGAAACTCGAGGCCTTCATTAGGCCTGACAGAGACCTTGCCTAGAAATATTCAGGGCACAGTTGTCATAACAATTATTGTAATTGCACAGATTACGCCTTCACACCCAGCCCCAACAGGACAGTGAATTATAGGAAAACAAGCATGTTTTTTTTTGGCCCAACGTGAAGGTCATTCCTTCCTTCCACAGACAGTTGCACCCTGTGGTGCAGAGCCACAGAGCAGCAAGCTGTGGTCTCACAGCTGCAGTCTCCTCAGGGGCTCTTTGGTGACCACTGGCAAGTAGCTGCTTGCTACTAATCTTCTGGCCCTGACCACCACAGGCTTCTTCCTGCAGCTGCAGAGCCTGGAAAGCTGTCTCCAATCTACTGCTCCTGCTCCTACTTCTCTCCTGGCTCCTTCCTGGCAGTAGAATCCTGTGTGGTGTAGAGGATTTACTGGAGGATATTGTAACCTGGAGGCTGGAACTGTAGGGTAATATAACATCTAGCAATGAACCTGACAGTCCACTGCAACAATGAGACCTCACAGAATCACAGAATCATTTAACAGCTTGGGTTGGAAGGGGCCTTGAAGATTATTTTGTTCCAACCCCTCTGCCATGGACAGGGATACCACCCACTAGACAAGGTTGCCCATAGCTTTGTCCAGCCTGGCCTTGAACACCTCCAGGGATGGGACATCCACAATTTCTCTGGGCAAACTGGAAGGCTTTTGTCACAAAGGGGTGTCAAGAGCCATAATTTTCTTTTTTTTTTTTTTTTTTTGCTATAAAAATAGCTCTCCTTCTTGCTAGCCACTTACAGTCTGTATAAACAATCTTACTAGCTGCTTAATGAAGAGGAATTATGTCTGTCTAAAAGGTGAAGGGGATGCCCTAAAGAGAGAACTTAGATCACATGAGGCAAGGAATGAACATACCAAAGAAACTAGATTTGCCCTTACATGATGGTTTTTGTTCAAGGAAATACTTAAAAGAGAGCTTGGAGAAACTAACTGCTTGGAGCAAAGTTTGCTGCAAGCCCAATATGGATGTAAGTCACAGCAGAGGGCAGAAAAACTATTTCTTAATTAATAACCTGACTGCAACATCCAGAGTTTCCCAGTGACAAAAACCATAGCTGTGGCATGTGATGTCATATAACAAGTCAAGTTTCACAATCCCTCCCACTAAAGTAACTGAAGGTATGAGAAGGTTATAGACAGGAGGTCAAGCTTTGGTGCTTGGAAATCATGTGTATAAACAACTTCAGCTAGCATTTCTAAAGAAGTTTTCCATTCATTTTTTTCAGTTCTTACTAGGTAAGATAATGATGCTAACTATTTAGATGCTTACTGATAAAATTAAGTGTCTGACTTGAGGTGTAAGTTTCAAAATGCTGGCCCAAGTTCCTTGTCAATGCTTACAGTCAGTCACTGGAAGAAGGGCGACTGCTTTCCAAAGCACTGCATTCCTACCACTTGACTGGATGTTGGAGAACGGAATAAAAAAAATAATTGTAGGGTAATAAATTCTTGCCTTGAATGTTTTCATTTTCATAGGCATTCTTGTCCTGAGTGTTTTCACAGGCATTGATTTCCCTCAGGTAAAAATATATGCACCAGAGTCACATTTACATTTTTGTCTTAGTGTTGCCACCCTCTGTTTTTCAATAAGTTTTTATGCCTTTATTTAATGACATGTAATTTGTAGTAAGTTTTATGCTTCAAAAGAAACACATAAAATTCGGTTTATTATCCCATTTTTTATTTGTCAGCCGAGTTCAGCTTGTCCCCCCATGGCATTGAATAGTCATTTGCTAACAACTTAGACAGTAGATAATCACCACTTTTGTCTCCGGGAGTTAAAATAGTTCAGGGTGGTGCCTGTGAGTTTTTGTGTGTACATGCACACCCGTCCCCTGCCCCCAACAAGCCACAGTGACCACAGGCATATCTCCACATATCTAAATACCGTTTTTCCTTGCACAACAGTGGGAATATGTCCTGAGTCACCCCAGCTCGCTCTTTCTCTTTTTCTTTGGAAGCATGCAATTAGCATCTGTTTTTAGTATGTAGCGTTCAGGCAGGAGGGGAAGGAGAGAAGTCCCTGTTGTTAGCTGTTGCTATGGCCTAGTTGGTAGTAGTGTGCAAAATCATAGCCAGCAGAGCTAGAGGGATCGCTCTCCCAAGTACATCCCCACATATTTTAGCTATTAGCTTCCCTTTCCCTGTGTATTAATAAAATATTTTGGAAATGGAGAGTTAAGGGTCGCAGCGGAGGGCCAAGCAATGCTCCATCGGGGTGCACAATAAGCTGTGGTAGGAGGGGAGAACAGAAGGGGCCCACAGAGTGCTGCTCCACCTCAGCACAGAAGAAACACACCTCACTGAAAGACTTAGGTTTCTTAGAAGTCTCCTCTCCGTTCCCACTTGTAATGCACCTGAGCATCACTGCAGGCATGGCAACACAAGAACTCTGATCTGGCAATGTTTTGCTACTTGGTTTCTGAACTTTTAACAAGAGTAGTTTATGGGGCTGCACAAAAGACATGGAGAAGGATAGGAGAAAATTAGCAACATTTTAAGAAAAAGAAGCTTCTCAGCCCTTTTTAAGGTCAATAATTTGATGTTAGCCCCAAAGGACTCAAAAATAAAATGTAGCTCTAACATTACATCTAATTATCACTTAAAGCTCAAGTCTGCTCAAGGTGGTTGCGAATTGCAAACATCAGATTAAACAACTCCTACCACCATACTTGCTGGTTTCCAGTTAGGTCCTTTGAACAAGTACCGCTCACCTCATTTATTTACCAAATCAAGCACATTAAGCAAGTTGGAGACACAGTTACAAACACTGCAGTCCAGAGTACCCAGATCAGTAGGCAGCTCTTATGGAGAGAG